ATATTTTGGGATAAGAAATTTAAATTTTTTTCGGTATTACAAAATAATAATTAGAATGTTATTTGCAAGCCCGACTGGTAGTTAAATACTATTAATACAATTTTGTTAATAAAAAATCTTTATAAAAAAATTAAATTGTAAAAAATATCCTTTTTTTAATTATTGTTTTTTTTTTTTTGTTAAATACATTTTATTTGCAATCTATTTTAGTAAATAATAAGCAAATTTGATAACAAAACCATAAGTTGACTTATATTTTTGATCTCGCATGAGAGCCCACCGTATGTCCATATAGGTTTTAGTATAGATTTATATAATAGTAATTTATTTTCAAGATGTAACTGCGATGTATGTCCAAGGAGTAAATATAGTATAAACTTGGGAGCAATATTATTTTTTTATTTTTATAACTGCTATTTGGGATAAAAATATAATACTTTTAATTGATATTATTTTTATATTTGCTAATTTATATTTTCTTACTTTCCGCAGGTATTTTTAACTTCCAGTGTGCTTTGCTTAGTTACGTCGTCGTTGTTTGCAGCATTGATTACTTGCAACAGTTGAAGGCAGACAACGGAGCAACATTTAAATTAAATGATTGGCTCGAGCGAATTCCGTGAACACAACTAAACCACACGAAAAACCAATATTTGTTAGTTTAAAAACATATTTGTAGCGTTTTACTATGTATGCATACTAATTTCATTCGTACTCGTACGCCAACTTATGCTTGGCCGAAAATTTAGTTTTAAGATTTCGCTGATTAGCTAAGATTAGTTTAAAGAAAAAAACATTGTAAGGACTATTAGCACTATTACATACATACATATGTGGATTGTGCGTTCATAAGTGAAAGAAAGAAAAAAAAAACCACCGCAAAAGCATAAACAATTAAACAATTTATTTAAACACACGCTGAAGAATGTCAAATGCTAGTATAATTTATTAAACTACTTTATTAACTAATGATTTAGCATGAGCTCATGCGTGCATTGCGTTTTTACTTGTTCAATTATGCATTGAGTAGAAATTGATTGATTTATTTAATGAATGAATAATGTAAAAAAAACAAGCATTTTATTTATTAGAATCGATTTGAGTTGCTCTTAATTATATTAATTAATTCAATTATTTTGAAGCATCAATTAAACTGACAGAATGCTTGGAGGTGAAGTTTTTATTTACTTACATATATATTTGTAAATATATATATATATAATTATGTATAACTGCATATGTATTTAATTTAATCATATCATTTATATACCAACCATTATTACTTTCATATAGAATGGCAATCAAAGACAGTGAATACTGTTATGCTAACAGCCAATAGCCATCAGGCATAACTAACAATAACAAAAACAAAACTATTTAAATAAGACATGTAATTTATATAATATAAACGAAAAAATCAAAATGCAATCATATTGTTTGCGTAAGAACGTAATTAATTAATTAAGTGTTCT